TATGGTGTCAGTCTTCGTTGCTCTTCTTTCACCGTGCCTTCCTTCTCATTATATTTTGTCCACTTCTTCACGCATATGGCATTGCACATAAACACCCCTTTCGTCATTGCCCTCATATCAAGTGGACTGGCGCCATGTACAAACTTGGAACGATCCTATGTGTCAGGAAAAACCGTGTATGATGGAAACTTATTTGAAACTGTCTTGCTAGCTCTCCTTCGCTTACTCTTCCCATGTGCCCATTTCCTTCAATACATTTGTATCCATGATACTGTCCTTTGGATCTATTCTTTCCTTGGACAGCACTAGGGAAGTGCAATATGTGTATTCGCGGATCGAACCGCTTTTCAATCAAGATGGTCCTTGGCCTTGCGGATGACAGACTGCCACCACGTGACGTGACGTTGTGGATGACAGCGGTGTTGATTTCCGGATGACGGAAACATCTTGCGTAGCAGCTGCAGTGATCAGCTTGGAAAAGATCGTTGTCCTCGGTCTGCGAGTGGCTCAAGGGTGGTTGCTTGAATGTGGTCCTGTCATTGGAAACGAACGTTTTGATTAGTATGAGTTCGACAGACCCGACCCAGGTTAGGGGCAGAGCACTGTGGAAATCTCGACACCATGGTCAACGAGAATTCTCAGGACGAGGCGCAGAATATCATTGAGGAAGTCCCTCATCATGCTCTTTCCGCCTGGTGGTGGCTTGCAAGCACCGCGTATCCTCTTTTAGCTGTATGTTGATGACTTCGGGAAGAAGATGATGTTGACCGTCTTTCATCAGGGCACTCTAGGACCCATGGCCAGCGCGTTCAGCATATGCTCTTTGTCCCAGGAATGGAGTATGGAGTCCGAGGCTGGCAACGGACAGATCAGGGGCATCGGGGATCCCGATTGGTACGTATACGAACACATGGAAGGCCAGGATTTGTGAGCTTAAAGATGTATCAGGGTCGTTGTGATCAATGCGATATCACTTGGCTGCGCCATTATTTCGAATTTTGTCCTTTTATGGGGAATGGCGCGGCGCATCGCGTTCTCTATTGCGCAGCCTATAATCATAATTGGTTGGTATATTTCCTCCCTGCTCTTGACTTGCCTGCTGTGTATCTTTGCAGCATCGAAAGCACAATCCGGCTCGGATAGTAGTACGCATCGGTGGCTCACTGGATCCTACTATTATGGAGCTTTTGCAGCTGGGCTATACTTTGTGCTCTCTTCCCTTCTCCTGATTACCGTCTACGGGGCCTATCGGGGCCACTACAGCCGCGAATTTCGACTGACGACCAGCCAGCGGAGTCTGATGCTGCAAACGATTCTTTTTCTTATCTACCTCCTCGGTGGAGCCGCCGTGTACGCACGGATCGAAGGCTGGAGGTATCTCGATGCTGTGTATTGGGCGGATTTTACCCTCCTGACTATTGGTATCGGTGACTTCGCGCCCAAGACGCATAAAGGACGGGGGCTTTTGTTTCCGTATGCCGTCGGAGGTATTCTGATTTTGGGGTTGATCGTGGGCTCGATCCGCGCGCAGATGCTCGAGAAGGGACGGCAGAAGATGGCGGAAACTGTGGCAGAAAAGACACGCCGGTTCCTCGTACGCGAAGCAGTATCTGACCATCAACACCTCCGGGATGTAGTCCCACGCTTGCTGCCGGAAAGGGATGAGAGTGACCGAGACCGACAACGGCGTGAGTTCCAGTTCATGCGACGTGTGCGACAGATTGCCACGCTCGAGCGAAAATGGATCTCGCTTGCCACGTCGTTGACCGTGTGGACGATGCTCTGGTTCCTGGGAGCGATCGCTTTTTGGCTCCCTGGACAAAATGAAAAGTTAACGTATTTCGAGGCGCTGTATTTTGCCTACACGACTTTGTTCACTATCGGTTATGGGGACTTTCACGCTACTTCCGAATGGGAACGGTCATTTTTTGTTTTTTGGACGTTGCTCGCTGTTCCAACGGTGACGTTGCTTATTGCCAACGTTGGTGACACGGTGGTGCGGACGATCCGCGATTTCACCATCTACCTTGGGGAGCTGACCATTCTGCCTGGGGATAAACCTATCAGGGTATTGATCAAAGATCTGTCCCGCCTTTCATGGAAGGAGAGATTCCTTACCGAGGCTGTCGCGGACAAGAGGCCTGACGAGGAAGACGTTGAGGAGGCTGCTGCCGACGCTGCCGCCACAGCAGCCGAGAACGCAGATCAGGTTGACCAGGGAGAAGAGGAGGAGCGCAACGCGATCGAGGCCGACGAGCATAAGAAAGAAGAATCGGCTCGGGCACGGGGAGATGTCACTGCGGAAACAATACATCACCACCACTACTTGTTATTCCGGGAAGTGCGGAGGATGATGGACTACGCCACGCGCAATTTGCACAAGGAGTTCAATTACCAAGAGTGGGAGTATTTTCTTAATCTCATAGCCTGCGAAGGAGGTGAAACAGATGGAGAGGAAGGGAATCCGAAATGGGATTGGACTGGTTACAAGAGTCCGTTGCTGGGACAAAAGACGGAGGTGCAATGGTTGCTGGAGGCGCTAACCGAAGCGCTGGAGAGGGAGTTGAGGAAGGCTAGCCGGGGATATCACTCGCCTGAGCAGAGCGAATCTGAAAAATAAGCTGACTACATGTCGATGTCGTGTGACTCGTCCGCACGGATGTCTACCTCGAGTTTGACGGCAGCCTTGGAGGAATTGTGCGAGGGTGCCATTGCAAGAGTAACTGTCCGATGATGGCCACCTGCCCTCAACGTTCGTAGCTGTTTACAAAGGTAGTACACACTACGATCTCACGTCGTTCCCTTGACCGACACCTCTCGCAGACGACTGTTTCCGGTCAGCCGAATTTCGAATGAGCAGCCTATTACATGGGCGAACTATTGCATGCTGTCTATTACCCCTAGCACCAACGCGTGGCAGGAATGCAGTTGAGCGGGCATTCTGCTGCAGTCAAGCAGGATCTGGAGTCCACCACAATCAGGGATAGATAGGGCTCACCCCGCAAATGTGAAACTGAAGGTAGCACTAATAGACACCCTTTGCAGCGCCAAGGTCTTCATTGGAAGTCCGTAACCAAAGGGGATATCGTCGTTTTACGCTGGCCCGTCCCTAGTAGGATATTGATGCTTTAGATAGCAATATATATCGAGGGGTAGTGGGGACATGGCCGTGGCCCCGTGGGGTACTGGTGTATAGAATGGCTATATCAATACGGAGCAGTTCCGAATAGCTTCAGAGATCACAGATCGCCCGAACCCCCACAATACCCAATCTAGCAGATTAGGGTCTTTCAGTACCTTCCAGATTAAACCGCAGAGAACTTCAAGAGTAGAAGGTGAGACGTGCACTCGGGATATGACGCTTTTAAGCATTTTAGGCAATTACCAGGATGTCCGACAGGAGTTGAGCCGCTATGCCCAATCTGGGATCTCTCGATGCAGACTTGGCAAAGCATAACGAAGTGTCGAACGGGTCGCCAAGAGGAAGAAGATGGAAAATTCCTGCTCGCAACGTAGTCTAAAGAGAGTTAATGACATCAATTGACCGTTTCTGTCCGTATGTCCGATTATCGGATTGAATGGTAGCAACACGGGTGGCGCCCACCAAGGTTCAGCGGTTCACGCTTTCAAGATTCAAGAGCCCAAGATGACGGCAACTCTTCTTATCATGCAAAGGTAATCTGAGATTCTGACGTAGCAAGAGATAGACACTTGAGAGCATCCAATCAGAGATAGATGGATCTATGCTCAGTCCGATGCTCAGAGCAAACAGTCACCAGAATAAGCAAAGACACTGACTCAACTTGGCAAGTTACAGCGAGTGAACCCACCAGACTGTCTTGGCTGCGACGCGCCAAGAATAAGATCCCCCCTTTTTCACCAGTCAGGGTTGATCCTTGTCGTATTCAGCAAAAGCACACTAACTGGCGGACTGGCGGGAGGCTGTGCAATACTGTGCATTGCAGATTTTACAGTTAACACTACGTCTCAGACAAGACTCACTAAAACAACTATATAAATTTGGCTGTCTATCTTATGGCGATCCTTCCTTGGCGCCTGGGCTGGGGGTGTAATCTGAAGTTCTGAGCTCTGCACCCGTGGGATGGACCAATCTAGGCAGAATGCTCAGGATTCATGAAGGAATTAGGCTCCCATAAGGCCTACTTGTCTAACTTTCTGCTTTTCTCCTTTTCTCATCCTGATGCCCCTGATGATACCAACAGATGACTGGAGATTTGGGTATGATCTAGATTTCCATGGTCAGCGACTCCGCCTCAGGTATCGCGAGTAGCCAAGGCCAACATGGTCAGCAATCAGCATTCACCCCAGATCATCCGCCAGGCGCCGATTGGAGTCCATGGAAACGAGGGGGATGCCTGAACCAGCTGCTTGGCGGTCCCCACTGTGAGAATCCAAAGGCCCAAGGCGGCCTGAAACCTTGGTTGATACCAACATGCTGGGCGAGAATCCTCACCGCGGTTGTTATCGTGCCAAGCAGCGCCAAGAGGAATGCTTGCGATGCATCTGAAGTGATTGGCGCGGAAACTGTACACTGACGAGATTGATCATATTGGATCTTTGTTCAGGATACCTGATACGGCAGATCGGGGACGATTCCGATTCTAGACATCAGCTTCTCTGCTCTTCGGCGGCCAGGCTCCAGCAGTGTAACCCTATCCTCCAGCCTCATTCGTGGTACGGTGGTGCACTGTTCCGAGCCACGAGGCAGGTGGTGGCTCGGCCATGTTCCGTTGAGGATATTCAGACTTTCCTGATGTGACAAGAAAGGATCGTCCTGAATGCGCAGCATCCCACATCTTCTCAACCCAATCTTGGCTGTGTGGGATGTTTCAGCTCGTTTGGCATGCTCCGCAGTCGGTGGGATGCATAAAAGGGGAAGGATTTCCTGAATCCTGCGTAATGGCGATCAAGAATTATTGCTCGAGCCAATAAATAGGTTAGCAGTTCCACGAACGAGTGTCCTTATAGATCCATAGAACATGGCCTTTAACGTTGGACCCCAACTGGACGACTCCAGGGACCGACCCGGTCTTTGGTCTGCCGGGCACAGTACCGCTGTCTCACTTCAGCCCGCCGATGAGATTTCCGGCTCGGAGGGGCTTCGCTCGACCCTCACCCGGCACTTTGCTGCCGACATCAATACCAAATATACCGATATGCTCCTCATCGTCTGCGGCTTCGTGAGCGGCCTCGTAGATGGCCTGTGCTTCAACGCCTGGGGCAGTTTTGCCAGCATGCAAACCGGTCCGTGACCAAGTTCCCTTTGGGTGCAACACAACCACTGACACAGCGTGAAGGAAACACCGTCTTCATCGCCCTCGGCGCCAGCGGCCAACCAGTCTATCCAGCCTACCTCTGGGCCAAGTCCCTCGTCGCCGTTGCCGTCTTCATCCTCTCCATGATCGTTTACATTTACATCTCACGTCTTCTGGGGCCCCGCCGCCGCTCGACCCTCATCCTGTCCTTCAGCGCGCAGACTCTGGCCCTCCTGGCCGCCGCCATCCTCGTCGAAACCGGCACCGTCAGCCGGCGTCCCGAGGACCCCCGCGCCCCTATCCAATGGCTGCAGATTCTCCCCATCTCGTTGCTTTCATTCCAGGCCGCGGGTCAGATCGTGGCGTCACGAATCCTCTCCTACGACGAGATCCCGACCGTCGTCCTGACGACGCTCCTGTGCGACTTGCTCGTCGACAAGGACTTGCTGGCCCGCGGGTGGACATCCAACCCGCGGCGGAACCGCCGTGTCGGCGCCTTCCTGGCGCTCTTCCTGGGCGCCATGACGGCGGGAGGGTTGAGCAAGGTGACGGATATGGCCGCCAGTCTCTGGTTTGCGATGGCATTGAAGTTGGGAATCGTCATTGCTTGGTTTGTATGGAAAGCTGAGGGAAGCAGGAGGCAGAGCAAGGGGGAGGTTTAGTCTGTTTTTCTGTCTCTTTTGCAAACGACTTTATGACTACCTGTGAGACTTGGGATGGATTCATTGTCGAGCGAAGCGTACTGTTGACTTAGCATGTGGGCGTCTCCTTTTCTCGTCCTGTCTTGGCGTTCAACCTGGTTGGTCCGAATCAATACATTTCCGGCTTTTTGATTGATGCGAAAACGCAGTGACGTCCTGTACTAGTTTCATCTCTGATGGATTAGAGGGGTAGATACTCCATAAGATACGATTATCATCTTAGTCAAGCACTCAACACGGAGTAGCCTCATGGATGTTAGGAGAGCCTCCAGAGTACGTATACTCCGTATATATAATACTATATTATTCATAGTATTCTATTCCCAGTGCACAGCAAAACGGGGTTCTAGCTTCTGGGGTTCCCTACTCCCTCTCAAATATTAACTTCACGCCCCCTCTCTAACGTTGTACTCTCCCAGACACTCAAAAGCGCTGAAACGTGATTCCGAGGTACCTTGGCTACCGTACAAAAATATATGATATCTAAGTACCTCTGAGGTGTTAGACCACCCAGCATCTTATTGAGAATTGAAGCTTTCAGTTGAATATCCGCTGCTTGGCATGCTGCTTGCTCTACTGGCCTTGGTGGTTGCAGTCGCAACAACTTATACATGCTTTCTTACATTCCCGCACAGGACAATGTCATCACCTCGGTCCAACACAGGTACCTTAACCGAGGCTCGTATTCAGCATAAATGACCTCCTGCTCAATACAAGACGACAATCGACAATCTCATAACAACCCTCTGAAAATGGCACAATCAATCCTCACCACTACCCAAGGCGGCATCACAACCATCACCATCAACCGCCCCCACCGCCGCAACGCCGTCGACCCCCCAACCGCCAAAGCCCTCTACAACGCCATCCTCGCCTTCGACGCCGACCCCGCCCAGAAAATCTGCATCCTCACCGGCGCAGGCGGGACGTTTTGCGCCGGCGCTGATCTCCACGCCGTCGCGGCAGCCGGAACCGGATCCTCCCCGTCCACATTGGGCACCCAGGAGAATCTCCAGCCTGTCCCTGTCCCGTCCAACAAAGATGAGCGTGTCCCATCCCTAGGCCCAATGGGTCCTACCCGGCTACACCTTTCGAAACCCCTCATCGCAGCGATAGCCGGCCACGCCGTCGCAGGCGGGCTGGAGCTCGCGCTGCTGGCTGACCTGCGCATCGTCGAGGAGGACGCCGTCCTGGGGGTCTTCTGTCGGCGGTGGGGGGTCCCGCTCATCGACGGGGGGACGGTACGTCTGCAGGCGATTGTAGGGTTAGGGCGGGCGCTGGATCTGATTCTCACGGGGCGGGGGGTGGGTGCGCGCGAGGCGCTGGGAATGGGGTTGGTGAGTCGGGTTGTTGCGAGGGGGAGGGCGGTGGAGGAGGCGATGGTGCTGGCGAGGGAGTTGATGCGGTTTCCGGAGCGGTGTATGAATGTTGATCGGGGGAGTTGCTATTACAGTGCGTATGCCGCGGGATCGATGGAGGATGCGCTGCGGAGGGAGTTTGAGATGGGGTCCAAGGTGCTGGCGACGGAGAGTGTGCGTGGGGCGGCGAGGTTCAGGGATGGGGAGGGGAGGCATGGGAAGTTTGAGAAGTTGTAGATGCCTCTCATGTCTTCTAGTATTGTTGTCGATAGCGTCCTGCAGTGCAATGAAACTGTTCCCATTCTCGGCTATCAACTACTTGACTTCGTACACGGCCGACAGTCTGACCATTGGTTTCACTACATGGACTAGAACTGTCGGCAATGATGCTATTAGCGTCCATTGTGTCGCTGTCATGCTATCATATTCATGATGATACTAGCGTTGTCTGCGAAGATCTCCACCGAAGAATCTTCTTTATGGGGGCGGTGTTAGCGTTGGGCCCGGCAGTGGAGCGATGACTCAAATTCAACTTCAATTGTTGCTGGTATCATGAAAGGCATCAGTAACGATCGAAATAGCGCATATCTTAAGCAATACCCCTTACTTTGAAGCACAGAGTGCGCAGATAGTAAACTCTTCAGGATGAAGTTGATCTGAAAAAATGCAGATCTATACTTGCTTTGGCCAATCATAAAACAGTTGAGATCTTGCTCAATATCATTGGCCAGTTGACAGGACCCACAAGGCAAATACTAAAAATAGGCTTATATCAGCCACACACTAGCTGGAATGGGGCAAGTGTTTACTGCGGCGCAGGGATTTGCAATTGGACGCGTAGGCACTGGGCAGTCAGGCATTACTATGATCACGAGGAAGGATTAAAAGCTTCAATTGCACTTCGCTTTGATTTTTCCAAACTATTCAGACTAGACAACATCAAAATGGCACCGTATGCAGCCCTCGCCAGAAGCGTACTCGAGGAACAGGCTTCACAGCCTCATCTCCTCAAGCGAGACCTCTCAGTCAACCACACTCAAGCAGTAACCCTAGGCGTCATGGGGGCGTACGTGGTTGTCATCGCACTGCTTTGGAATTTGCCTTACGTGCGCTGGTCATTATGGCCTTTCAAGGTATTAACTATTTCCCTCATTTACCGCCTACTGATTGACTAATGACAACAGATGCTGGTCATCGCCTTCCATGAATTCGGCCATGCCATCACCGCATGCTGCACAGGAGGCAGAGTAAAGTCCATCTCACTAGACCCCCACGAAGGCGGCGTCACGCACATGCAGGGCGGTATCAGCGCTATCACCCTGCCCGCGGGATACCTAGGCTCGTCCATCATCGGCGCCCTGCTGATCTTTGCTGGCTTCGACATTGTCGCGAGCAAGGTGGCGAGCATTATTCTGGGGGTGTGCTTCTTGCTTACGCTGTGGTGGGCGCGGAGGGACTGGTTGACTATCGTGACGATTCTGATGGCCGTCGGGTTACTCGTCGCGTGTTGGTTTATCGTTCATGGGGAGGCGCTGCGGTGGGTTGTGGTATGTTTTCCCCCGTATCTATAGTTCTATTGGTTGGTTCTAATTGCGGGTAGCTATTTATCGGGGTCATGTCGGCGCTTTACAGCGTCTGGGATATTGTACGTCCTTCGTCTCTTCTTGACAAGCTCATGCTAATGTGAACAGTGTGACGATCTCATTCTCCGCAAAGTCAATACCTCCGATGCGAGTGTCTTCGCGCAGAGATATGGTGGCTCTTCTCGCTGCTGGGGCGTCATTTGGTCCTTTATTTCCCTGGGGTTCATGGCTGTTGGCATTGTGGCTGCCATTGCGGCGTTTCCCCAGTCGTTCAGCGAGCAGCAGGAGCAATCCAAGCATTTCATTCCGACGCGGTGAACAGTGAGCTTAATAGCTATGAGTGATGATAATGATTGACTTTTATTCTTGGCTTTTTGTCCGATGATGTTTGTTCTGCATGTATACCTAGAATTCTTCTTTGTTTACTTGAGACCGCAGCCTCAGGCAACATGTCTTGCCGAATGCGGAATGCAATATACCATCGACATTTTAGTTTTTACAGCCCAGCAACTCAGTCCTCTGATAGAACCATCTACATGATATACTACTATTACAGCCAGTTCTTTCGAGTACAAATTCCCCTACCTCTCCACTGGAACATGCCTCAACCGAAGCTTCACCCACTGTGTCCCCTCCGGCAACACATACTCATCCCGATCAAAGTACAACGTCCACGACCCTCTCACTCCACCTTCAGATTCCGCAATCCCCAGCTCCAACGCCTCTTTCTCTCGGGCTTGCTGGTCCGGCAACTTTACAGCCAGCCATCGTTGCCGCTGTTCAAGCGTGACATATCCACTCTCGACGTCAAGCAGATCAAACGGCCCACAGATATGGCCCTGTGTATCACCCTTCCCACCATAGCGCATCTCATTCGTCTCAGCATTTAGAAACACCCATCGAGCGAGAGGCGGCGTCTCCCCGCTTAACGTGATCAGGCCGGAGGTATTGTCGGGGGGAAAGTCGGGGTGTGTATAGAAGTGGCCGTCGAAGGGGGTCATTGTTGGAGTCGGGTGTTTGGTTACGTACAACTATTATATTAAGCAATAGTTTAAGGTGAGGATTAGGTTGAGTACCGTACCTTTCCATCTTCGTCGAGATATACTCGTGCATTGTGCAGTTGGTCTCGCTGTTCGGGCGTTTCTTCGTTCGTGTAGCATTCTGCGAGGAGATGGCCTCGTTGTTGCTTGGCGTGCTGGCGAGCAGATTCAGGGCTACTGGAGCTTTGGTCCATGTTTATCATTGCTGGGGCTATGGTGCCCATTAAGGCGATGCCGAGGACCATGATGTGGATTTTGGTGGATGTAGTGAGATGGTGTTGTTGACTGATTGGGGTGTAGGCGTCTCCCGCCAGCTCATGGAGCTAAATAATAAAGTTAACTTTCAGTGACGGTGATCAATTGATAGGATAATGCCGTTGTCCACAGTGGTTGTGGTTCTTCAGGTACACTTGGTTCCTGATCGACGGAAACGGAAATGGAGGTACCCCCACAACATGAGATGCAACATAACCCACAGATGATATAGAGAGATAATCCTGGTTATTTCTTCATTATTTTATCTTATATTTGCCTGTTGTTGTTCGTTATCTCTGCAGCTGTACACTTCCATATCTCACTGTCAAACCACAAAATGAGCGATCGAAAATGGCAGGATGCTCCGAGGTATGTATCAAGTCAGGTCATTATCCGTGCTATAGCTGATAAGACCAAGTACCCCAGCAGAGATACAAGACGAGCCAATCCAAGAAACCACAGAAAAAACCGTGGTGGTTAAACCAACTGCTAGCGAGCCGGCCGCTGAACCGACGACGAAACGGGACGATGGCAAAAGGGAGAGTGTCAACATCAAGATCCATCTGAATGTCCATGCCAAGGTGAAATTGGACTTGGACGCTCAGATAGACGGTGATATTATCATTGGGTTATTTTGAACTTCTGGGGTTCGTTGTTGATTTGTTATGGAACTTTGTATGGATTTGATGTTTAGAGGGTGCTTCAATGTTGATATTGGAATTTGGGGGTTAGAAGAGGCGAGTTGCCTAGACTTGGGAGATATACACTTATGAATGATTCACTCAGTGCTTTCTATCACGCGTCCAACGCCAGAGCTGGAGACTGTATACGCGTCTCGCTTAGACCACGCTACTATCCCATTCACTGATGTTTTGTATGCACGTGAGTAGTATAAAGCTCATATCACTCTCCAGCTTTCTTTCATGCCTCCTCCCCAGCTCAGTCCAGATTGTCAGACTCAAAATGGAGGGTGAGTGCCATTGCGAAGGCGCCGATAAAGACTTCCCTGCTGGAAGCGTCATGAGAAAGTTCGAAAAAGCTACTTTCCCAATCGCAGGGCGTCTCTATCGTTTGAAGAAAATCCTCTGGGAGCGTTACAATAGCGATAACCACCAGCGCAGGGCCATGTTCGAAGCAGAGGAATGCGAGACCAAGGATCCTGTCGTCATCAAGTTCTTCTTGGAGTATGCCTTCAGTCCCCTGACTCATGGATGTCTCGTCGCTAACTTCATCAACATAGGGCAGACCCATTCATGAGAGAAGAAGAGAGAGGCAAGCGAACTATGAAAAACAATGCCGCTGAGCTTTTCCGCAATGAATGCGAGATCTGGAGAACCCTGACAGACACGGGCTATACTCCCAAGTTCTACGGCAAGAGGGAGATGCATCAGGATCTGACCTTTGAGAACCCCGGTGGATACCTTTGGATTCTTGTCCTGGAACACTTCCCGACCTTCAGTCTGGCTGACGCACCTCAATTCCTAAATGCTGATGAGCTTCCGCGCATCGAGAAACAGCTGCTTGATATGGCTGTGTAAGTGGGGCCGATCTTCTGGTTGCTTGAGACAGTCTGACAAGTTCATCTGACAGTAACTTCAACAAGCACGGTCTTGATTACGTTGGCGTTTCGTTTCTCAAGTTTGATCCGGAGAAGAGGAGAGTGTATGCCATTCCTCTGACACGACTTGCTCGACGCATAGCTGACAATGTTAGGTACGTCACGGACATTGAATACTTCAGGGAGACCGAGGTTCGCAATGACCCCGTAGCGGCAAAGAATTCAGCAAGGCATTGGATTAGTGTCGTGATGGGTGCTCTCAGAGCTGGTGTAGAAGAGATCAGAGGACTTTCGCCGATGGACGAATATATTGACCTTGAGGATCTTGGGCACTTTGGGAGTGACAGTGACTGAAATTGGAGCATGAAGATTGGATCTTTGGAGGATATGATTACGTTGGAGGCATAGAACTGTTGGATCGGAAGGTGGATGTCGTCTTGCGTGATTCGAGGGTTTAATAAGAAAGTGTTAGAATTATCGATCCATAGTTGATCCACCGAGTTGACTATTTGAGTATGATCTGACAGCGGGTTGGTGGGACTACACGATCAACAAGATTAGCCAAGACATAAACCTGATTTGGGGCCAGACCCACGGCGATGCGCAATTGTTTCATTATTTTCTCATTCAGTGCGTTGGGACCTAGCCTTCGGTTGGTTTGAAGCATAGCCGGTCTGTCTCAAACAATCCCTAAACCGCAACAATCCCCGACAACAAATGACAAACAAAGTCGGCAAGATCTTTCAATGGAGTGAACGAGCATGAGCCACCCTGTTCTAGATCGTGTTCGCCATGCTTTGCATAAAAGAAGACATTCCCATTCGTCAAGAGGAAGATCCACCGTGTAAGTTCAGTGTCGCATCAGCTAGAGTGCATACAGCTGATAAAGATTCTTAGCAACTCCCCCAAACAGAGGAACTCAGTCTGGGAGGAAATACCAGTCAATGTCCTTACTCAGATACTAGTACACTGCTCACTGACAGATATCTATTCTTTGATGCTGTCCTGTCGGGTGCTGTATCGACGAATCCACCAAGAAGAGTATGCGATATCTCGCGAATATCTTCGTCATCGAACGGGCCAATATCTGCAAAGCAGCGACTGCTCTCCAGGAGATGACCTGGCATTCATCTCTGATCTTTTCCCACCCCAACCGCCGCAGTACACTGCTAGCCGGTCCCACGACGAATTCCCCCAGTATTCCTTTGGCTATCTCGCCGACCTAACCCGCTGCTGGACGACTTGCATCAGGCTATCGTACTACCTAGCCGATTACGCGGTTGAGCATCATCTGCAGCATGATTCTGACGCTCAGCCTCTTTGGTCATCCTGCAAGACCGAAAAGGAAGTAGTCTACAGCAGAGCTGTGGGCGTACTTCAATCTCGCTTATTGTGTCCCTTGTACGTCTGCCTACTTGACCCATTGCCAGCCTTTACACAATTTTAACATTTCCAGAGCATACCTTGCATTCTTCCTTGAGACCTACGCAGACGCCCGTGACGCAGCAAGGGAAACCGGGAAGGGGAAGCCCCATGATCTGCACCATTCGCTCGAAGATCAACAGTCCATCCTCCAACGGCCCCCATTCACGACGACCGAGGTCCTCCTTTCCACCCACCACTGTATGCACCTCCTCTGCTCCTCTGTGCGCCACATGATGAGCCCGGAGTTCCCACCCTCCTCAAACGGAAGCTGGGTCAGTATTCTCCTCACGACATCCACCCTCGAAAGGATCCTAGATTTTTTCATCGCGGCGGCAGACGACCAATCCGCAGAAGCGCAGCACGCGCACGCCAGGAACGTACAAAGCCATCCTCACACGCGCGGTCAGCACGCACATACCAGGAATGTATCATCTTCCTGGACGAAACGGAGGGAGTTCCTGCTGCGGATGCGGACGGACTGGGATGAGTACCTAGTGTCCGTGGGTGGTGACCAAACGGCCGCTGCCGCTGACGAGCAGGCGCTGGTCGCTCCTCCTGATCTAAGGCAGGTATGGTTTGAGGCTGCAGAGAAGGAGATGTATCGACGAGGTGTAATTACGCATCGCCGTGAGGATCCAGTTCACATTCTCCATGGATCGTATATAAAGTTACATTGTGAGTTCTGTGATGACCAGTATTGAGATCTAGAGTAGAACAAGGCAAGCTTTGACTGATGTTGCAACAACTGTACTTCTATCGATGTATGACAGCAGTGGATATGCAGCAATGGAGGACTATACGTACATGTCGACACTCATATCGACTGAGTGTTTGTAAACTAGCAATAAAATATTGACATCGGCTCATAATAAGCGATCATAGGAAAATCTAGCCAGGGCACTGTAATTAGAAATAGCTCCATGTTCAAGTGAAAAAAGATATGCAACATTTGTCCGAGCGCGGGTACGATGTGTCAAGCAAGAGGCCAGGGCCCATAATAATACATTAGAAAAGAATAAGGGGTATATCTATCCGGCTATCAAAACCCAGAGAAGGAAGAAAATCTGCAATTGTCTCGTTAGCTTCTGCAATGGCATCAAGAAGGAAGAAACGCACCATAAGGACACCAAACATCTTGGCGATCAGCCATCGGTTACCGGATACGCGGTTCCAGTACTTCATTAGCTCGCGCTGAGCGCCTTCAACATTGTCCACCACGTCTTCGGTGTTGGCGTCAATCCGTTGAATCATCTCTGACTGCTCACTGACCATCTGAGCCAGTTGGCCGAAGATCCCTCCGAGTTCATTGATGGTGCGTTCGATGGCATCAATGGCTTCGCCTCTGGCCTGTATGTACGTGTTGTTTGTCTGCGCCTCCTCCATCACCAGTAACTGCTGATCTGTCTGGAACGATGGACGTCCAAGTGGCGAGGGATTCGAGGGATCGAGCGTCAATAGATCCGAAGAACCTCCTTGGAAACCTGGTTGTGGCGTCCTCCGTCCCGAGGGGTTGTACAGTGGAGAGTCCGACCGTTGCGGATCCAAGACCTGCGACTTGGACGATACCGAAGAGACAAAGTTCTCTGTCCGAGATCGCGACGCTTGAATATTCTTCGTTCGGACCTCGAGGACTTCTTTAAAGTTCGCACCGACATCCGCCAGCTTTCCTTGGAGCATAACCACGACCTAGGTTACATTAGCGTTGCGCAAGCCGGCCACTCGGAGTCCACTTACATTGTCATTGTGCTCTCCTTCTTGATCCGCTTTTGATCGATTCGTTTTTGGATGTTGCGATAATGTAAGTGCTTGCAGCGAAGCAATTTGCTGGTTCAGCGACGCCAGGTCCTGTTTGATGACGTAGGTCAACTCCGAAATCTCGACAGGTCTGTCATCGAAGAGCGTCTTGCGCTTCGCCACTACGTTGAGATCAGCAGATGAAAGAATCCCATCGGGAACCAACTACTCACATTCAGCCAACCGTTGTAACTTCGCGGTTGTCGCTGTAATACCTCGTCCAATCTCCGCGGCTCTCCTAGCAAAGTCCGACCGGCGTTTGCTTTGTCCTTGTCCATCTGTGTCGGCGTGCGCCTGTCTCCGTTGCGAATCCGAAAGCAGTGCTTGACGTTGTGAGCCGACTTTGGAAGTCGCGAGGCGTTTCTGGGCTTGTCCGAGGATGGCCTGAAATTCGCCCGTGCGATCCTGGATGGAGGGGCCGACCATTTTCGAGATCGCGGGGTTCTAGTCGCCGCTACAATATACGTGTCGAGGCGGCTAGAAGTTGAGAAATAATCTAGGATGTACTCCGTAGTAGAGGTCGGGCTAATCGATAAGGAGAAGGCAATGGTTGAGGCGTATCCGGCGTTAGTCAAATAGGGGCAGTAAACAAGTAAACATCGAGTGAGGTCGGAATAGTATTGGATTAGGAAAGGCTAGGGAGTTTCATATCGTCAAAGTTCAGAAGTCCATGAACAGGAGTATTGATCTGGCCAAGAAAGACGCCCGTCCTCAGTCACTCTCTATGGGGGCGGATTCGTGTCATTCCGGATGGGGGAAAGTGTACCAACTGTCCACGTGACATGGGTGCCACTGGCACAGCCACTACAGCCACACACTTGTTCCCCAGGCCGCATCAGGCCGCAGTTTATTTTAAGTACCAGGGGTATCTCTCTATCATGACCGGCAGAAAGGGAAAAACAACAACTATCGACTGTCGCTGAGGGGGAGACTTAAGTTCTCAGGAAGCTGATCGGCAAAATTAACTTTCACAACTCGCTGTTTTTGATATACCCCTTCACCCAACATTAACAAATCGCCGAGGCTGAGCATCAGGTGCTGTCGCAATCCGAGCGTACCCACGTCATCTTGTGAAACATACCGCACTTCCTCTCTAGGTAGACTCCGTCGAACTCGATCCGCGGTCCAGCACAACCTGTCTTGATCTCGAAGAAAAACCCTTCATTATCTGGACATCCTCTGGACATCCTGTCAGATGTGCCTTCTATGTTGATTTGCTATTGCGCAATCTTTAGTCTCACTTTGTTGATGCTGCCCAACTCTCCATTTCCCTCCCGTGCGTGTAGCAATGGCTCGTCCACTTCAAGTTCCCTACGAACCGGAGTATGAGACGCTGTAAGTTCACTTAAGACGGTATATATTGGGCTCAGCTGACTGATGCTGTCCGGACATACAGCTCATCTCCCAGTACCACTACTCCAGTGGCACCACAAGCCCGCGGCGGAACCCCCATTTCGTTCAAAACAAATGTTAATCGCGCAAAGACCAAGCGTTGGGTCGAGGCGAAGAAGTATTCATACGATGGGAATGACTGGGGTGACGATGACTACGAGGAATACGACGATGAGCCGCTACCGATGCCCCAGCCAGCAAGCTTCAGCCAGAGCACCAACGATCTATCCAGAGTAGCTCCTCGGGATCCGTTAAGACCCCCGCTACCCAGCATGGATCGATCACGCTCAATGGATCAGGTGGCAACGCTCGGTGTAGGACCTGCTGGAAGTCGCAGTCGGTCGGCGGACCGCAATGCTGTCGAGGGCCCTGCGGGCAGTGCTCCCTCGAACAAGCCTCTGCCTTTCGTGCGACCTGCCGACATCTACAAACGCATGCAAGAGAGACGCCAACAGTCGCCAGATACCCCTCGGTTGCCCTCCGGTCCGGGCCGTTCCCCCACTGAACCTATGTCTACATCTCAGCCGCCTGCAACCGCGGATCAGGAACTTCATCTAGGTCCGGGATCTAATGTCGGTCACGGCAAGGTTGACGACCCAAGTGCCACTCCAAGAACCGCGCCTGGTGCCGCAAGCCTTGAGCTCCCCGATGTCAGGGGAATTTCTGGCTTCGATGCTGACTTTTTGGCTTCGGATTCAAGCGTGCAGAAAGAGCAGAGCTCTGATTCTCAACAAACCCATCAGCTGCAGCACAACCCGTCGCTCGGGTTCCGTTCAGTTGTGCACCAAGCATTCGACGTTCCCGACACTCCAAGCACAACTGTTGACAGCGTTGCACGATCCAATAGTGACAGCACGTCGGTCATTAGTCCCATCATAAGTACTCACGGTCCGAACGAAGAAAAGACGCCAACAATCGTGGAGGAGCCTGGTGAAATCTCCACACCGAAAGATACCAACGATCAGGCTATGGTATTTAAGCCTGGTCATCGGCGAGATCTTAGCCTTCCCAGCCCGGGTAACAGCCCTTCGAGGAAACCGATCATCAATAACAGCGCCGAGGCAACTCCTCCCTCCGTGCTGGCAGAGATGTCATCGGAGACGCCTGCAGACTCCCCGCGAGACAGTTCCTCTTCGTTTCAACAGCCGCTGCCACATAGAGCCTCTGTGCTCCTGCCTCAAACTGGTTCCGACAGGGATCTACCAGCGCCCCTCAACTTTGGCGCCAACCCAGCTGCCGACTCCCCCATCAAAAGCCATGAAGAAATTCCAGTGATTATCCCTTCAAATAGTGCAGAAACTTCCCCGCAGGACACCGAGAGCGATCGGTTGAGAAAGGAGATAATTCGCTCCTTGAGCCGGGAAACCACGCCCTCAGCGGAAACAGAGCAGCAAACTCCTAACAGGCCGCAGACTGCTCGACAAGACACAGAGACCAGTCGGCCAGACAGCCTAATACCCAGTGAATACGAAAAATATTGGAGCGAGCAAGTCGAATCAAGCCCTCAGGATCTAAGACCGCCAGCCCCTGTCTACGGTGCTTCTCAGAATTCCTCGCAGCAGGATCTGTACACCAGTTCGCCTATGAGTGCTCCGGTGCCCACTGCTCCTGCTCAGCCCACTTCAGAACCTAAGTTGAAACGACGGTTCTCGTGGGAATCATCATCAGAGGAGGAGGAGGTACCTCCAGCGGACTTGCAGGCGGCTTCACCGTCGGCTATCCCGATTCCAGGACAATTCCCTGTGGCCAACGATGCGACTGAGCTAGCGCCAGAGGCTGTCCCCAACGAGTCGGAGATGGCAACGGACAGAGGTCACGAAGCTGACGTCCAACAGACGCCTGAGAAGCCTAAACTCACCCTAGTCACTCCTACTGCCATGGAAAATAGCAGCGACTCAAATGAAAGCTACCTGCCTGAAGTCATCAATCGTCAAAGTTTAGAGGAGAGATCCCCATTGCCTGAGCCCAAGATGCCTCCCATGGTTGAGCCGACATTGTTGGGCTTCCGGGACATTATGGGGATACAATCCTCCGAGGAGCGAGTGCGAGCTTTCGACCGTACACGGGACCAGTTCTCGACAATCGATACTGGGTTGAAGAATTGGTTACAGGTGGTGATCCGTGCCCATCCGGAGCACATGGATGTTGTGGAGCAAAGCATGAAGGCTCCCTCTGTCGAGCCTAAAGCCGTCGCACCCAAAGGGAAATTCCCGAAGCTGTCGTCTCTTGGACACTTCACCTCATCGAACCAAGATGGTCCTCCGTCTGGACCGGGCCACGCACGACGCCCATCTGCGCCGCTTGGTTCGATCATGAATAAACAACAGGTTGAGCAGCGCGGAAAGGACCTGTTACATACGGCGGGAGCCCTGGGCGGCCGAGCAGGCGAGGCCGCCAAGGGTCTCTTCGCCAAGGGCAGAAATAAGCTGAAAAGAGGAGAGGCAGAAAAGGTAGATGCTTAATTTCTTGGTTTCGGTTTGGTGGTCATGCATTTTATTTATAAGCACGTGAGAGCGGAGGTTGTGGTCTATATATGATGCTCCCTCGCTGCATCTGTGTTCTTTCTCTCTGGTCCTGTCTTGCTTATTCTATTCTTTGATACCATGGTGTAATGAACATATGCAGTCCAAATCAGAATGGACATGATTAATGCTTTCCCAACTATTGTCAAATCTATCGCCCGATGATTTGTCTGTCACCTCTAATTGCGTGTTGATCAGTAGGGATTCCACCGGGTGCGCGGTTATCGCAGAGAAATCCAGCTTTCAGACTTTCAATCTGCCATAGACCAGTCTGAGGCTGAGAGCACGGCTCTCAAGCGGAATACTGTGCAGTTTGCAAGTTTGCCCATCATCAGACGGACAGGAGGCTTGACCGAGTCGACGCAACTACCCTGGGATGTAGAGCCACAACATGCAGCGGCAAGTGAAAGTAGACGACGAAGTGCTGATGAAATCAATATAGCATTTTTACATCGCCAACTGAATACACAGGGACGTATACTTAGAAAGCCATTGCCCAGTGAGATGATACGACGCTCGCATTCCAAGGCGCTGTCGAGCTCTCCTGCGTCAAAAGCTCAACTACCAAGCATTTTGAGAAGAAAAACAGTGGCGGCGATGACAAAGATCTATCGAAAGCCTCTAGAAAGCGACGATAAGCGCCGATTCCCTGTCGATGCAACCGTAGCGACTCTAGCGACAGGCTATTGCGTGGACTCGAACTGTGGGCAAGAGGCTGGCCTTACACAAGCAAACGCCAAGCCACAGGAACGAGGTGAATTGTTGACGGGCCCATACCAGAATGCTGCATTTTATTCCGGCCTGAGCGACAAGATCACCAGTAAAAATGCAATTGACGATGGAAAGATGAGTCCTGGTGGTGCAGAAGACGCAGAAGCACCGCCACCTCCGGGCGCTCATCTTCTGGACCGTGTCTGGCGGGGCTTAGAGCAATCCCCTGTCGACCTCGCAACTAGTACAAGGCTCCCTGTTCCACCTCCTCTCCGTCGCATAAGCGTTCCCTCCATCTCCTCGCTGGGCACACTGGAGGCGTATTCGGCCCTGCAGCCATCATCCAGGCTGGGACTGGGTAAGTTGAGTTTGAGTTTGACTCTTCTCTTATATCTTTATTCATGATGTCCCTATAAGCACCTCGCCATGAACACTTACTCCGAATACGAGCTGACCGAGTCCCCAGCACGGCCGTCCCATTCTGCAAGTGCAAGAGCAGAGATTAGTCTTAATCTTATTGGCGTCGGTCAACCCGGAAATCTTAATCCCAGCGACATGCTGAGTCCCGCGAATCAGACGCCTGTTCCTAGTGTTGCTGGCACGGCTACCACTCAGAGTCCTGGCCTCAGCCGTTGGCATGCTCGGAAGAGCCGTGTTGAGGCTGAAATTTTCACTCATTCCAGGGGTGTCAGCGGTTCGTCTGCGAACCCTGCTTTTACTTATGAATCCGGCTCTGTCGCTGGCTCAAGCAGCCCGCGGACAGATTCAAATGCACAGGTCTCGCAGGATGACCTCTTTGACGCTGACCTGGCTGCAAGAGGATCGCCTCCACGGAAGCTAGCTTCTCCCAAGAGCAAGCCGCCCATGGAGAAGTTTAGATTATTCAGACGGAATCGGAGTCCCTCGTTTTCTGATGAGCCTTCGCCCAAAACTGACCGGTCGCGTCGCAGAGCCTTTGATAGGCTGGGTGTAAGTTTGACCCGTATTCGTCGGTTGACTGTATCAAGCTGATATCTCAACTAGGCTTGGTTTGGTCGTTCTCAACAGCAACAGCAACAGCAAAATAACAGTCAGGCGCATGGACGTGCTCCCGAGTCGTCTGTTGCGCAGACAATGGAATGGCTTCGACCGGTGTCGTCGCATCCAGCACCAGGCCATACACGCTTCTATTCAGACGACCGGACAGGTCGTAGTAGGCGCCGATCAAACGTGGAGAGTCAGACATCGTTCGAGGGACAGGATCCACCGCCGGAGGGATACTTTGCGCCCGAGTCATTCTCTCGCTTCCGGCGCTCGCCCCGGGCCTCCAAGAGCAGCCAGCAGTTAGCAGCGGCAGCACCAGCATCTCTATCCCACCAACCTGACAGCCGGCTCGCTCCACCAGACAGACTGCCGTCACCCGCAGGCTCCTTTTCATACAGCGGCAGGGTCTCCCCACAATCACCACCACCACCTGCTCCTCCACCGCACCTCCAACTCCACCACCACCAACAACAACAACAACATATGACCCTACCACCAAGCCCCCATCATCCCCAACTCTCTCCGCAGCTCTCTCCGCAATTCTCTCCACCGCCGCACCTCACCTCCCCCATCCCCCAAGCTATCCCCCGCACCCCGCCCTCCCGCGGCCGCAGCGTCGACCGCGCCTACACCCAAGACCTCCACATCCGCTCCCGCAGCCCCAAGACCTTCCCCCCACGCCCGGAAGAACGCAGCTACCCAAGCACCGACACCACCGACCCAGCCAACAACCTAGGGACCTTCCGCAGCAACCCACGCACCAGCCGCATCGGCGACCAAGAACTTCCCTGGAAACTCACGCTGCCGAGCGACTCGGACGAGGAGCGCGCCACCGCCACCGCGCGCGAGGGGGAGGGAAGTTGGCTGGAGAGTACCACGCAGCGGCTCCTGCAGTCATCGCGACTGCCGACCTACGAGGAGGACTCGGAGGTACAGGGGCAGCCGCAGCAGCCTGTTGGGGATGAGAAGACAGCGGAGGGGCAAAACGGGGACCGAGGTCGCCAGCAAGGGGAAGGACAAGGGCAGAGCCACCACCATCCGCACCGCGGCGAGGCGAGGGCGATCAATCCCGAGGATGCACCGGTGGAATTGCCGGTGCAGTGGGATGACGACTCGGGAGAGGAGATCACCATGTCGAGTACGGCGTATCCGGGACAGGAATGGAAGCCGTTGGGGTTCTCGGGGTGGGAATACTAAATAGATACCCTTTTGTGCTTATGAGTGATGACGATGATTACGGATTGGATTTGGCGGGAGTTTTAAGGCCGGTATGGTATGATATATGATGCGGATCTTGGTACGGCGCGCTGTCTACAAATAGGAAAAAAATGAGACTTTCAAGCTCTATCATGTATGTTCATGTTCATCTAATCGTATAGTACAACCGAAAGGAGGGGAGAGAATCTCATCACAGAAATCTAGCCCTCGAAAATGCTCTGGTTCAAATCCACCCCCATATCCTTGGCCATATCCTTCATCTGCTTCTCGATATCGTCCTCCATGCCGCCTCCCATATGCAGGAACTGCCGCACCTTGGTAAAGTAGAAGAAGACGTCGCTGGTGAACAGCACGACGCGGAAGAGGAGATGGCGGCCGAGGTTCGCGAATTTCTCGGACCAGGGGAGATCGGGCGACTCGACGAGCGCGCGGGACGCCCACATGCCCGTGATCTTGACGCGGTTGACCGGCGAGCCGAGGAACTGGTTGTTCCCCTGGACGATGCGCAGGTTGCGACCGATGAAGATGAGTTCCTGGGGCCATTTGTGCTCGTCCGCAAGGATCTCGCGGATGGCCTTGCGGGCGGCCTGTTGCATCTCGTAGTGGAGCTGGGCACGCTCGACCTTGCTTAGCCCTTCCAGGTGTTGGCGCGTGGAGAGGTCGCCGCCGCGGTAGGGGCGCATCATCGTGAAGGAGGCGAACATGTCCGAGTTGCGGATGCCCCAGCCCTCGGCGATCTCGCTGAGGGTGCGGTTGTCGAAGGCCAGCAGGGCCTTCCAGAAGCGTGCGTACTGGTGGCGGAAGTTGGGGTCCATGTGGATGTAGAGGCCATGGTCGATGAGGACCAGCTCCGCCTGGCCCGAGGGCTTACGCCGGATGAAGATGTTACCTGGATGCGGATCGCAGTGCACCCAGCCCCAAAGGAACATCTGGGCGGAGAAGAGGTCGACCATGGTCGTCATCACGTCCTTCAGCGACAGACCTAGGCCGCCTTTGCCGTTCCAGCCGCGCCAGTGGTTGCGCTCCGGTTTGATGTGGGCCAGGTTGGGGTTCCTCGCAACCTTGGCCACCGGATCTTCGGTCTTGGGAGCATCCAACGGCGTTCCCTGGCATCCGGGGCTGCCTTCCCGCCAACCACCGAGCCACGGATGTGTGATGGACTCTCTGTCCCATAACCGGATTCCTTCGATCCACTCAGCGGTCATGACACGCTTCGAGCTGAGCTCGCGGTAGACTTTGGGAATGTAGACGCGGTCTCGCAGACGCGACTCGCCGGCCACCAGCTTAGCCATGGTTTCCGAATTGGTCGCTTCATTCTCAAAGTCCGTCTCTAGGAACAGTCGCTCGCTTATGTATGGTACCAAACTGTAGAAGGGGATATCGAACGTGCGGGAATAGACCCAAGTGACCACTCTGGTCTCGTTAGCACCGTCCCCGAAGGTTATTGCGATGAACTTACTTGAAAGCCCACAGATCCCATTTGATCTGCTGAGCAATCTCCCTTTTCTGAATCTTAATGGCAATCTCTCGCCCATCTGCTAATCGCGCCCAGTGGACCTGCGCGACACTCGCGCTCGCTCTAGCCCTGCGCTCCAACACGCCCTTAGTCGGATCCCCTGTGAAAGATACTCCAAAAACCTCCTCGGCCGACTTCCCAAAATCCTCCCGGATCACCTTCTCCACGTCCTTCCAGTCATTCTGCGGCGCATCGTCAAACATCCGGGCAAACATCTTCTGAAACTCCGGGGGCAGGATGGCAGACTGCATGGCAATCGCCTGCCCGATTTTCAGATACAGCCCGCCATTATGCCGGAGCAGATCGAACAGTCGTTCCGCGTTGCGGGCGTGCAGGGCTGTGATGGATTCAGCGAACGGTGGGTTCGGACGGAAGTTGATTTTGTAGTCTAATGCGACGAGGAGACCGAGCGAGAACGTCCGAGCGGTCCGCGTCAGTGAGGATGCGTAGAACTGAGTGTCGATGGCGTAGATCACTCCGGTGGCTATGGAGAGGTAGGCGAGACGGCGGAGCCATTTGCGAGTGCGTGTATAGGTTTTCGCGGGAATGGGTTTGCCTAGTGAACTCGGAGAAGGGGGCACAAATGGTTTGAATTCCCCTGGATGAACGAAACGACGAGGAGGAGGTTGTAGTAAGGTTGCAGGTAAGCGTGGATGGGCACGAGACACGATGGGCTTCGGCCGCATCAAACGGGAAGCGCACGTCATTCGCGACGCCATTCGGATGAAGGACACAGAGGACAGCAACATCAAGACATGCAGTATCTCATGGTGCGTTGATGGAAGACATCAACGGATATTTTGAAGAGATGGAAGTCTGCAGTCAACAGTCACTTCCATCATAATAAGCAGAAGAAAAAAAGTAAGCTCGATCGACCGATGCTGACAGAGCTGACATGACAGCAGTCAGGAACATTTCCTGGCGGTCAGCCGTGGCTTTCGTCATCGGAGATTCATACAGCTCTTCCTTTTGATAGGAATTTCACAACATCAGTTATCATTATTATTATTACCATAACAGGGGGTATGTAGAATTAAAAGGATCATGAGGCTATAATTCATCATTATCATAACTCCCCTCATCCAATTGCCCCTGTACACTCTCCGTATTCCCAGTATTCCCCAAATCCCGACAAACAGCCGCATAATCTCTCATATTATTCGGAATCGTCTCCTCCCACAACTGATCATCCTTGAGATAAGCGTACTGCTCTCGACACAGTTCTTCCGACACCATGGGCAACAGCGCCGGTAGATTCGTAATAGCCGACCGCACAAAGGTCTTCTTGAAGCAATTCCCAAACGCCGCCAGCGTCTCCGGGTCCGCACAGATATGTTTGCCCTCCAGCATCGGACCACACCGCTGTTTAATGATCTTCGCTGCGTCATCGCCCAATCGCACCATCGCTTCTTCCTGTCGGGGTACGTCCAACCGCTTCATCACGCTGCGGACGGCCGGCAGGAAGGTGTTGTTGCGCGTCCACAGGTCCCAGTGTGGGACGGTCGGCTGACAGCCCTTGTCGCAGATCTCACGCTGAAATTTCTCGTACAGGTCGCCTGGCCGGCTGACGAGTGCGGCGACGACTTTGAAACATGTTGGGGCGAGTTTGGCGGTTGCGGTGGATGCGCTGAGCAGGAGGAGGAGGCCGGGGAGGAGGAGGAAGCGCATTGTAGGTAGGTTCATCCACTGCGGTGGACGAGGATCAGGTTGAATGAACTGGAAGAAATCAGAAAGGAAGATGGATGATGGAGTTATTGACTTACCAGTGACCGTGGTCATGTTGATTGATCTTACTTGAGTCTTGAGCCAAAGATTGGAGATTGATCGTCGCTACGGATTTCCCCGCAGTATGGGGTTCCATCATCAACCACTACCGAGGTGCTGTTACGAATTGAAGCTTTTCAGCCAGAGGTAATCCATTTCTAGAATACCCATGAGCCACTTCGTCGTACTTGCTGATCAGAGTATGAAAGACTTCACTGAGCTTCTGGTTTGTGCAGCTTTTCTTGCCTGAGCACTCTACTGGCTGTACCATCAGCCTCAGGACAGAAGTCACTGGGGTCAACTCTGTGTCCCTGAGCGCTTTTTCTCGATTTAACTACAGAAATTGTGGTATGTCAATTGGTTTATTCTCCAGGCAAATGGTCAAATCAGACAGAACCTGTGGATCTGGGGTAATATTGACTCCAGGAAGCAGAATACTATACCCTTTTCCTTAAAGAAGATACTGCTCCCAGCCTTCCACCCAGCTTCGCCGACACATTATGCGCTGCAGCAAAGCATCATGCTCAGCTCTAGTATTGCTCATCACAAGTATGAGCGATAATGAAAACTTGATCCTGACCTAAGGGTCTGACAGAAGCCAGCTGGCTATGCCCACTACGTTCCTTGTGGGCCAATCTTCAGATCGCAGAGACTCTCAGAGACTCGTTGACAGCTGCTTTATGGCGCTACCCCGTTCATGGTAGGTTCAACTGATACCTTCAGCTCTTGCTTTTGCTCTTGCTCGCACAGCTCCAGAGTGTGGACGGGCTCGGTTTTGGTGGACTCGTCGGTGTCTTCAGCTTCAGTACTTGTCCAGATACAACCCTTGGCCCGTTCTTAATGACAAAAGCGGTCCTTGTCTCACCAGATAGTGAGGACGTCAGGGTTGAAAAATGCAATGAGGACTTCCCCTGGATATTCTTCCAACCTACGAGCTTGACGCTCAAGAAGCAGGTAGCGTCTTTGACCATTCAATAATTGTAGACTCGAAGAAGGCTAGAATGCTGTGAGAAGAGCATCCGTATATGATACAGTACATACATTCATCTCTATGTTTTCTGGAGTATTTACGATAGGGTAATGATGGAACTGTACGGTGGGTCAAAGTCCGACCTCAGTATGAGGTAATAAGCACGAATATATATCTCTAAATGTCCGCCAAACAAGTATCTAACATTGAACTTTTGCCCTTGAATGTCAAGTAAATAAAACAAAAAAAATTCCCTTCTCAAAGATCAAGTAGTCTAGGGTGACATTATCAACAAGGCCTTGTGCACCACGAGGCCTAGCCCTCACCTGCTGCAGCCTGCGCCTGCATATCCCCTTTATCATTACCCCTCCATGCAACAAGATCTTCCTCATCGACACATCGTCCATTATAAGCAAGATGCCCAGCTCTAACCTCGTAGAGATTGACTCTCTCGAAGCACTCGTCATAATCGACAATGAGCTCGACCCCTTGTCGCCCGCCGCGCCAGACACCGTCCACGTCTCCGGGCTGATGGGTAGCCTTGCCACGGGGTCGCCTCACGACCTCAAGGACAGGGGTGACGCTCAGAATGAGCTGAGAATGGAAGACATCTGCTGTTCTGCGCACGGCTTGTCAATACTAGTGGTAAGTCGACTGTCACTAACACAAACTTTCAGACGACGCTGAGTCCTCGCAGACCGCGACGAAAGGTGACGTGAGCCACTCAGT